AAAACTGGCACAACATATGTCATGCCGTGGAATGTCTCAGTTCTCCTTGTCAGTTTTGTGCTAGATTGTGCACGTCTGACTGTTCAAAATCTAGTTTAGTTGGTGGAATCGATCGCATAACTTGTGCCCACAATGTCCATGTTACAATTTTTTCCTTGGCTCACCATCTGAGCTCTTAATGCAGTAACTGTTGCGGTACAATTCCCAGTGCAAATAACAAAGCAAAGTATTTCCACAGGAGCATGTACCACCGCTAAAGCACAAGATCGAGACGAGCGGAAACGAGGATTGTTTGACATTGTGTGCGGAGAGAAGTGAACAAAGGACAGGGCCGAGCAAAATATCGCGAACATCGGTTCTAACCGCCGTATCCTCCGCATCATATTTAGAACTGGCTGCTATATTTCTAACTCGGACTTGTACAAAATGGTATAATCATAATGTGCTGTCTTGTGCACGCAATTTCAGCCCTCACCAACGCTGTACAAAGCGTCACTGGCCCGTTTGTCAACGGTCGCGCTAATCGACCAATCAGCGTACAGCTAATGGACCAAAATCCTCAAACTTACCGTAATTCCTTGGTTCATACGGTGTAGTTTTAAAAGGTGTTTCCAAAGATTATTATGGACCAGCGTCTTCTTTCGATAGATACCAACAGATCGTCCGCTTCGAATTTTTCGATTTTAATGCCGTTTGGCCGAAAATTACCTCCGAAATCGACCTCCACTTGTTTCACTTCAAGGCTTTCCAGGTGGACGGCATCGCAATTCGGAAGCAGAGAAAGGATAGCCAGTGAAAAAAGAAAAAACAACGACGTATTGGTTGTCAAAATCGACCAAGAAATGAATTCAATAGACCCGTTTCCGTGCTGCGCCCTCTCAGCCCGCGCGAGTGCGAAAGGGATTTTTTCTCGACAAAACAAACAACAACTACGCGCAGTGCATGCAGGTGCTTTTTGCAGTTCAGTACACTGACACCACTGCACTGGCTGTACATACAGTGTACCTTTCCAAGGCATGATTGCCGCTAGTGGGAGGCTGAAGCTTTCATAAAGGAAGAAGTAGTAGGTGAATGAGTTCGCCAGAAAATGGAACGCCAAGAAAATAGATACTGTTGCTTTCGGGCGCTCATGAGACGACGGCAAGATAGGACTGAAACGATCGACAGTCTGTCTCGACGCAAAAGAAACTCTTCGAGGAGAAGCTCGACGCGCTGTAGAGTTTGCAGTATTCTGCTGGAAGAAGACAAGAGAACTAAACTCAGACTACAGCGTGGAGCTGAAGCACAACCGAAGCAAAAGCTGAGCGAGTTCGAAGAAATGGGGAAACACAGGGAAATGAGTGGGCGACATGATCTTTACTACTTTAGCTCGAATCTCGCGCTAAGACACGCGGGGGGGGGGCACGTGCGCCTATGGGTAGCGCAGCCAGCCACCATGTTTTCAAAATGGAGGTCCACGCTTTTGAAATCCGTGTAGACGATGGTGAGGGCTGAATTTACCTTGGCATATCCCCCCCCCCCACCTACAGCAACTTAATTGGTTTGTTTCGAACACGTAGTAAAGTCCGTCTCCCTCGAGCTACCACATCTCGTTTTGTATCCTCCCCCTTTTTCAGCTCTCAATAGTCTTATACGAAATGACTGGCGCTGCCCCTCCATGTCCGTCAGGCTAAGTCGCTTCCCTCGTTTCGCAATCTTGCAAAGCAGCATTTCAACATTCCAATTGCGATTCACTCGTCAGTATATCTGTTTAGTCTCGGTCGTCTCATGTCGGCTGTACTGCTCCCTTTCCTCTGTTACTTACCATGGTATTGGTGCACCACCACACTTCTTATACTTTCTTCCTACGCCATGGCTGGCAAACGCCCCTCCTCATCTATATTGACACTGATTCATATTTAGCCACTGGAAGGTCTGATAATACTTGTAATACTACTAATAAAACTATGAGAACAGCCTACAACTCAAGCCAAGGACGTCACGTGACTTAGGCTCTTTATCTTCTAGTTCCCTGTTGTGTGGGATGCGTGGAATGTCAGGGCTCACAGTTGACATGCGGAATCGACAAAAGCGTCGTGCGAGGGCGGGTTTTGCGCACGTGAGTCGCGTGACCCCGGGAGAGTACCGATCGTGTACATCCCACGCATCCAAACAGAACAGACAAGAGAAAGAACCTGACGCCCTGAGTTGTACTTGTAGCCTTTTCTTGTAGTTTTAGAGCCGATGGTTTGGTAGGACCTGTCCTTTCCTCGCTTCTCTCGGCATGCAGTGTCAAACCATTCTCGTTTCCGTTCGTGTCGATCTTGTTTCTTTTACGATCGTGCATACTCCAGTGGAAATAGTTTGCTTTATTATTTGCACTGGGAATTGCACCGCAACATTGAACAGTTACAGTAGTTGTGCTTGTCCTGGGCAAAGAATTGCCTTTCACTGTGCCTTATAGAATTACCCACCGAAGGAGAAGGCGAAACGCAACCTGTGCTAGTCCCAGTAAATACAACATGCCATGTCCGACCAAAAGCTGATTCTACAATGAGCGATCGCGATGTTCCACAGGTAAGAAGACACATAAACGAGTCAGAGCTCGCCAGGCAGGTAACGCCGAGAACATGATGATACCACACGGAGCTGCTGATCGGATGGAGGTGAACGGGACCAGCAAATCCACCTGGCGTTAGTCGAGGGTCACTGAAGGCTAGGTTTCCCAGGGTACCAGTTCCTCCATGATGGCGAAATCCGCTGCCACAAGAACTCCAGCGAGAATGAAAGCACAGCAACCTACGCCGCGGGCGAACTGAGGAGAGAACACTGAACAATCTGTGCACAATGATTTTCTCTTCGACGGCACGCGTTGCTGTTCTGCTGCATGCATGCGTTTTTCTTGTTGTTTGATCTTCACACATTTTCGCGCAAGCGGTTGCGCGCCGCTGGGACTCGGGGTTTCTAAAATCAGTACAGAGCATCTCCCCTTGGCCTTGGTCGATTTGGACAATCTATGGCTTAACATTTTCAGGAGACCCTGGCAAAGAAAACCGAGACGTTTTTGGAAACTCCTTTCCAATACTGTTCTATATCTCACGAAATTTACGCATATGCTCTGGCATACCCGTGTGCGTAATGAAAATTTGTTTCGATAACTCTTTTGGAACACCTGTCTTCTGTGCCTGGGCCAAGTCCCAGCCTCGTAGAACCTAGCTGAAGTGCTGCTAACTCCTTCAAACACCCCCTACTTCGAGCAAAAATGTGACGAAATGCTGACTGCTGATTGGTCAAGCTGGCATTTTGGAGCACGTGCGCCGCCCCCATCTAATCGACGCTTTTCTACGCAACTCTGTCCGTTACTAGACTGTGAACCCTGAATGACTATGTACACGATCGGTGCTCTCTCGGGGGGCACCAAAGCCGCCCTCGCGCGACGCTTTTGTCGATCCTGCGTGAACATGTATGTAATGCGCACGAGACTGTGATCCCTGATGGCCTGAGGGCCTAGGGCCTGAGTTGGCGGGCTCCTGCAGCAGTCGATGACAACCTTTGCTAGGGCTGGGCATGACCGGCGCCTAGGCAGGATGATGTTGTAGATACATGAAGCAGGGTTGAGGCTGTTTAGTGTTGAACTAGTAAACTAATAATAGTTACTTGAAAGCGTTACTGGCGTCAGCCATCAGCACACACGTGACACAGTCGACATCACTCCATGGCCCATAGCCCAGAAGTTGCGAAATCGAAACATGTACCTCCTCCGCTGTAGCTGTGGATTCAGGATGGGATTGCGTGTGGTCTTTCCTAAGTGTTCAGTCAGGCGCGTTCCCCAGGCTACCTGTTGCTAGAGAAACAGCGACAGGGCTGAGTGCATCAATTATTTTGGTAGCTGAAAAGCTGACGACGGTTGTGATATGCAGACTGATGTTGTTGTACAGACGAGTTGAATGGTCGAGTCGCCGACGACGTTGGGATATGCCGATGTGCAGCTCGCGATGCTCTTGCATCTGCCTTTTTGCGAACGGACATAATTCTGACATAAGTGTGCAACCCGTTCTAGTACAGGCGCAACCAACGCAATTTCCATTGACAATGGCGGTGCACCGGCAACACTGGCATACGCCTACTCCTAGTCCTACATGTTTTGTCACAAGACTCACTACTACTAGTTCATGACATTGTAGCGTCAAAGATCACGTCCCTACGTTCCTATTAATTTTCTTAGACCAGTGGCAGTGGCACAATTGTTGGCGCCGCCACTATTGCGCAGCAGCGGCGCCGTTGACCAGTGGCGTATTGCGTTTTAGCCTTTAGGCTCGTCGGCTTTAGTCGCACGCTGCATCTAATAATAACCTTTATCCACGTAGAAGACATGAACGCCATAGTTTCTGTGGGAGTTTTACAACCTCCTTATCCCGCAAGCATATGCTATCAAGAGCAGGCCTTGCAGGCCCGAGGCGAAGAAGCTTTGCACAACTTGAAGTCTAGGCTTTGATGCCTTGCATCGTCAGTGTTGAAAATGTTCTCCTTGAACACACTTCAACTTTTACTTCTCTCTGCCTCTTCCCTTCGCCTTTGGCTTTAGTTTCATTTTATTCCGCTGTCGACAGAGGTTGCCTGAGTTGGTTCAATTTTTGTTTGGTAAATCTGAATCAAACGTTATCAAAATCCTCAGTGGTAGTATTCAGACGTTTTCGGGTTCTGCGGTTCTTCTCTAGAACTGTGAGCGATCTTACTGGTGAGCTCAACTGAGCCGTGTACAACTCCTCTCTCAGCTGAAGATTCAAACATGGCGGCAAAGGAGCCTCGTGTTTCTGGCAAACAGATGGAGCAGTGGTCAAGGTACGTTTATGCATAAGTATGATCACTTTTTCTACAGAGCACCAAACCTCTGCCACAGTCATGTAGTTATAGGAGTCAGGCTTTGTATGCAAGGTGAAGTTAGATTGGCAATGATCTTACCTGATTTGAATTTCCTATTTTCTATCCATTTACTATTCATCCGATGTATTTTACAAGTAATTTTACATCCCAAATCAAATAGGCAAGTATGCACATAGCCAGCAATCGCAGGTTATCAACTAGATAATCTGCATAACGGTAAAAGTAACTTAGTTTAGAATGGAACTTTTGCTCAGCGTCACCCTTTTAACCAGGCCGTAACGAGGTCGGCCGAAGGAATCCTAGAGAAAGAGAATCCTCCTCTCCACTTATCAACCAGGATGCCGACATAGGGCCGAAAACAGACAACTAAAAAGTACACAAGAAAACTTTACGGCCACGGCTGCGCAGACTTTGGCTCACTAATATTTTAACATACATTCAAAATTTACGGGGAGCACACAAAAATCTCCATTGAAACCTAGGCAATCTGCTGAGGTCCAAACTGTAAAGAAGAAACACTGGTGGTAGGAATTCACATCGGTGCAGTGAACCAGTTTCAGTCTTCTATATCGAAGTTTACCGCACCTAGTGTAATCCAGCGAAAACAACACAGCGTCAACCGAATGTTGCCTTTGTTTCATGAGCGCCAAAGACAGAAGTAATCTCTGCCAGAGGATTGTGCTCTTATGGAGGTACCTATGTATACATACATACATACATAAATACAAACATACATACAAACATGCTTCGTACATACATACATACTTGCATACATACATACATACATACTTGCATACATACATCGTGATCTTGATCCTGCTGCAAAGTCTCGCTACATACACACATACATACAAGAAACAGACCCCCATACACCCACTCTAATGTTGCAACCCATCCACCCAGTGATACATATGCTGTTTTTTCTTCGTTATTTCTTCCATTTGGTTTCTATATGTCTGGTTCACACAGGATTCAGCGGAATATCCGATGTAGTATCATCCAAGAGGATCGATTCGGTCGCCCAGGAGCAACCCTGAGGTCGTCAATTAACATCATTGGTGGACTTGATATTTCGTACAGCAGCAACGACAACCAGACGGCCGTGGCTGCGCTATCGCTATATAACTACCGTACCATGCAACACATGCATACATTTAAGATTCCCGTCAAAATAACCGTACCATACAAATCCGGCTTCTTGGCGTATCGAGAAGTCGAGCATTATGTCACGTTGCTGGAGACGCTTAAAAAGGAACACCCCCAGTGGAAGCCACAGGTGCTTTTGGTGGATGGCAATGGAATTTTGCACCACAGAGGCTGTGGCTCAGCCAGCCATCTAGGAGTTGTGGCTGACGTGCCCACCATTGGTGTAGCCAAAACACTTCTTATTCCAGCGGTTCAAGCCCGAAGTGAGCGACAATTCCGAGAAGTAAGTGAAGACTTCTCTATGTTCTTGCCCTGGAACATTCGTTAGGAATACTCGCATCTACTTCTTTATCTTTGCCGTGATGATGCCCATTTCGCACAATATTGGCTGTAATTCATTATTATTCCTGTCGTGCAACTGAGCGAACTTTTCGGAGATGGAGGGGATAGCAAGTGAAAAGTACTTAGCTTAGGATATGGTCCCAGTGATAATCATCTGTCCCTGTTGAAAGTTTAACACTTGCGTCTTTTTGACCCTTTTGGCATCCGCAGGACAATATCAAACACCTTTGCCAAAACAGAGGCACGGCTCCAGTGATTGGAAAGGGCAAGACCGGCATCATTGGAGTAGCCAGCGTCAACAAAGGTGGATCAACACCCGTCTATATTTCAGTTGGCCACAGAGTGTCTCTGAATACTGCAATCAGAATAGTCCAGCAGTGCTATCGAGGCAATTGTAGAATTCCAGCTCCTATAGACAGTGCTGATCAAGAATCCCGGCAACAGATTGGTGCAAGAACAAGAGGCACTCGTCCGCGTGTGAATGCCAAGCCTAGAGATCACAACAGTTACGACGGAGCAGTGCAGCAGGTCGACATGGACACGTCTGGCGGCAAGGATTCCACGACTTCCACCACACATGACGTTCAGCAGGAGACTCCGAATACAGCTCCACTGAAGGCCCAGCCATCAGCTAGCGCCCAAAGGACTCCTGGTTTCCCTGCTCGTCTACGTGGCAAAGCAGCTCACACCTCCCCAGACGACGAGGGCTTCACCTCGGCTACCGGAAAACATACATTCAAGCCCAAGCCATCAGCTAACGCCCAAGGCACGCCTGGTTTCCCTGCTTGTCTACGTGGCAAAGCAGCTAACACCTCCCCCAGACGACGAGGGCTTCACCTCGGCTACTGGAAAACATACATTCAAGCCCAAGGCATCCCCGTCAGTGCAACACTTCACCCGATCTACAGGTAACATGGGCTAACGAAGCATCAGCCACCGAGAGGGAAAGGCATTTCGAACGCGTTGCAGCATCGCATCAGAGTCTGTCACACGATAAACTGCTGGAACTGTAAAGATAGGCTTCATTAATTCATGCAGCCTTCAACATAAGATACACCACATCACTAACCCTCTCCAGGAACGCACTGGGAAATCCTGCGCAGATACGTGGATACATTCTACGTAGATCGAAGTCAAAGCACGAGAGAGAACCTTGATGACTATGTTCTTCTACACTTTGTTATGTGAGATTGTCAACTCGCTTGCTAGCCTTCCTACTTTGTTGTATCCCATATATTTTAGCATTCCTGATGTGTGTCCATACCCCTGCTTGATGATTTAACTCCAGTTACTTTCATTGGCTACCTTTAATCCCGTAAATTCCACTGATGATCGGGACAGGAGATATATTTCTCGCCGGCCGAGCGGAGCGAGTGAGGTTAGAAATGATTTCTCGCGCAACAAAATTATTTTTCTTGCGAATATGGAATCTGGTGTTTTCTCTTTTTGTTGCTGTTCTTTTTGCCTGACTTCTTCGGTCAGTTTTTTGTGTCTCACCAGTGTCCCCACCCTCCCACGTTTCATGTCTGCCCGTCTTCTTCCCTTTCTTTCTTGGCTGTATATGTGAACAATACGGCAAAAGATCGTCGTGTGCTACTATACATACTAAAACAATTAGTTCTGAGTCCATCACTGTCATCAACTAAGTACAGTACCGTTGGATAATGGCGTTCGGTTTGTTACAATTCGTCCTCGCGAACCTTCCCCTTCATAGTTTCATATCATTCTGATAATATTGAGCCTCCCAAGTTAGGTGGTTGTTGCTTTCCGTTGTCGCATTGTGGTTTGACCGTTCTGTCTGGTCTTGCCGTCCCGTCATCATACCAGGCAAGATATCCATGAAGCCCTGGAATGTATCCTGTGCTCGGCTGGATGGCGCTCGCCTTCCCCTCTTTGGAATCAGCACTATATCCATGAACCTTCCAAGTTTGGAAGGCCGTTGGTTAGCGCTATCGAGCAGTGTTCAAGCTGACTTTCATGCCATGGAATGTCTCAGTATTCCTTGTCAGTTTTGTGCTAAATTGTGCGCGTCTGACAGTCCAAAATCTAATTTAAATGCTAGACTCAAACGCATAACTTGTTCCCTCAATTTCTATGTTACAATCTGTTTTCCTTGGCTTACCATCTGAGTTATTGAATATTAAGAAACAGTAACAAAGTCCATGTACTTTAGATAACCATGTCACAACAAAACGTTTTGTTGTGCGCATCCGCAAGAAACGTCATGGTCAGGTCCACGACCAATGTGAGAACAAACAATGATGAATGTCTAAAAAAGACATTCACGAACTAGCTGATGCATCACAGAGCATAATAATTATCTGTATATGAAGCATTTCAGCCTCAACGAATAATAATAATATTATTATTAAAACAGAGAGGTTCCAGGCTGTCCAAGAGAGTGCTCAATACCGAGTGGTAGAGCCGGTTCAAACAATAGGAGGACAGAGAAAATGTTTTTACTCAGAGTTTCACGCACTAAGCGATCATCAGAAAACAGTAATGAGAAATCTGGATCAGTATTGGTTTATATACTCACAAAGCAAAGTGTAAATAGCTGCAGCATGGCGCAAATCTAAAAGTTGTGAATGGCGGCAGTGCAAAGCGTGAATGACAGCAGTGGTGAAAGGTGACAACCACTGGAGCTGGTTGTCTCTTACTTAATTAGGTGATGGCTGTAGATGGTTTAAAGTTCCGAAGGTAGTACCTATTCTCATGGCGACACTTCGACACAAGCTCACTCCTTTTGTTGAGAGAGAGGTGCTTGCATGGGTGCTTGCGCGATTGCCAATTTTTCTGCCAGGCACAGGTTGCACCTTTTGCTTTTGTTGCTTTAGGCCGCTGCTCTGCCGTGTACCGCCCATTGAATGCTGCATGCCTTTCCTTCATCCTTTTTGGGCCAGACGTACTGCGATAGGCGGGTGTCCTTCTCGTGTTGTCTGTGGTGGAATGAGGATTGGTAGTTATAGTAGCGTTGTTTGAATGTTGTTGCTGTTAATCCAGTATATTCCTTCTTCTCCATACCTGCGGTGACTCTTGCCTTATATACGATGCTCTCCGTTAGACACGCTCCGTCCAGTGGGCATGAGTCTTTCGCCCGACAGTTACAAGTCCTGGTATCGTTGTCACCTCCGTTTATAATAGCTTGTTTCTTGGGTCGTAGAATCGTGTTATTGTGTTGTTTGATGATAGTGGCCATATTCTGCATGCAACTGTAGCTAACCTTTACAGAGTTCCGGTTGAAGATTTTGTTGAGGCTTGAGCCTTTGGGGAAGTGTTTGGCCACTAGCTGGAGGAAGCGATGTCCAACGTCGGTGGCGACGTTCTTGCTAAATGGTGGGTTGAACCATATGATGTTCCGAGGGCGATTCCTTTTCTTCTTCTTCTTTGTCTCGTCCGTTTTACGCTCGTCAAAATACTGTACGTTCTCCCGGTGTCCACTCTTCCTCAGCGCGTCACTGTAGATCGGAGTCGCAGCTGTCGAGCGTAAAACGGACGAGACAAAGAAGAAGTCGAAGTGTCGCCATGAGAATAGGTACTACCTTCGGAACTTTAAACCATCTACAACCATCACCTAATTAAGTAAGAGACAACCAGCTCCAGTGGTTGTCACCATTCACCACTGCTGTCATTCACTATTTGCACTGCCGCCATTCACAACTTTTAGATTTGCGCCATGCTGCAGCTATTTACACTTTGCTTTGTGAGTATATAAACCAATACTGATCCAGATTTCTCATTACTGTTTTCTGATGATCGCTTAGTGCGTGAAATAATAATAATAAACACAGCTCGCATCTTCCCTGAACCTGTTAGACAGGAGCAGAGTCGACGCATCTGTCAACAGTGTCAAGCCAAGTTAGTCTATTTCCTGCAGCTTGGAGAGCGCTCTCCACGGAGAGATCCGCTGCCTTCAGGTCGTGCCGAATCGTATCTATCCACCGCAATGGCGGACGGCCACGGGTTTTTTTTATGTCGTTTGTGTTGATTGATAGCTCCAGTGCTTTGAACGAGGCGGATTCCGGACCCTCTCGCACCACATGGCCAAACCACAGCAGCCTGCGTCGCCGACATGTGGCACTAACTGGAGATTGTTTTGTTTCTGTGTATAAGTTGTTATTGGTGATGCGTTGCGGGTAGACAATCTGCAGCAGTACGCGTAGCTTCCTCCGTTGACATTTGTCCAGTTTGTCGTTCAGCAATTTGGACAGAGTCCACAATCCGCAATTGTATAGAAGGATCGGCATTATGAGGCAGTTAAACATACACAGTCGGGATTGAAAGGAATGCCGTCTCCAAGAAATCGAACCAAACGCCCTGTTTGCTTTTGAGATTCTCATGTCCACGTCTTCTGCAGAGCCCAATAGAGAACCCAGGAGTTTGATTGATCTCCATTCGTTGCTGTTTCTTGTAACATCAACATATTCAGTTTTCTGTGTATTGAGCTTGAGGTTGTCTTCGTTAAATATAGGTTCACACTCAGCAACAAGAGCCTTCGCCTCATCGTCATTTCGGTTATGCAGAGTAGTATCGTCAGCGTACTGCGTTGTTGGAGCAGGCATTGGTGAGCGAATTGTGCATCTTTCCCTGATCTTGCGCATTGTGCCTTCTGCATATGTTATGAACATAATAGGGGACATCGGGTCTCCCTGGACCACTCCGATGTTAGTTGGGAAAGGGGGACTCAGGGAGCCACTCAGCTTGATCCTGGCTGTCGTGTTGGAAAGTAGAGACTTGATGGTTGTTGTGCTGATATCTGCTTCCTCTAACCTGTCAAGTGCTGTGGTGCGAATTATAGTGTCAAAAGCACCAGAGAAATCTAGAAGGGTGACGGAATATGTCCAGTTGCCAAGCAAGGCCCGCTCACACAGCGACCTTGTGTAAAATACACCATCAGCGGTTGAGCGACCTGGACGAAATCCAGCCTGGGTTTCAGAGACATAAACGGTGATGTCATCCGTGCTACGTTTAGTAATAACTGACGTCAGCACCTTTCTCACTACAGAGAGTAACATGATGGGGCGATAACTTTTCGGTTTTCCGAGTGGCTTGCCTGGTTTGTATACAGGTACTACCAATCCACTGCGCATATCGTCAGGGCGTGAAACTCTGAGTAAAAACACTTTCTCTGTCCTCCTATTGTTTTAATATTATTATTATGTGCATTTTCTCGTTGAAGTCGACCGATAGGTCCACTTCTTCGCTTGTGCTGGACAACGAAGGCAGGAGGGTAACAAATGATACGCTGTGGGAAAAAATCAAACGATCACTGTATCAGAACCAAAACAGCACGAATCAGAAGAAAAAGGGGGGGGGGGGGAAGGAGCCGCAGAAGTATAAATTCAGTGGTGGGTGAACAATGCAGTAGAGAGAATTGAGTGATGGTGTGGTGGATCAGCAACAAAGGCACCAACCAAACATACAAGGTTACATGTACGTGTACGTCGTTGAGACGAAGTCAGATATTATTATAGTGTCATCCATCCCTTACAGATCTTTTTCTGTCACCCGTTGACACAGAGCTCGCCACTCGGCCCTATCCGCTGCAATCTTCCTGATTCTGTGCAAGTCCTCCAGACTACTCAGCTTTCCGGCATCTGCTGCCTCCAAGTCAGCAGATAGTGTACCCGGCAGGCTGGTCCTGCCGGCTGGTCGGCAGGCTGGTCCTCGGCCGTCCTCGGCCGTCCTCGGCCGTCCTCGGCCGTCTTAATATATTCGAAGAAATGTTAGTAGCTACTAGTGGTAGTAGTAGTACTGAGTACATTTTACTATTATGGACATGGAAATCCGGTCGCACTTCTAGCGGCCCCAGCGCGCCGGCTCTGGCCATGCAGTCGTGGATAAGCGGTACACACATGCATTTATGTGCCGCAGGGCGCGCGCTGGTCGCACCAGATCAACATGACTTTGTGCACTGCATGCACGCATCGGTCTGTACCGTACGCGCTGAGGGCGCCGGCACCGGTCAATCGACTGGATTTCCATGTCCGACTCCGCCACAGTACTGTCAGTAGTACATCATGTACTTCGTTTGCTGCATTTTGTTTGAGATCTGGACTTGGAGAAGAAAAAAATCCTGTTGTCGACCTACAAACTCCTTGCTAACACAGCTAGCTGTTGTCGACGGAAGAAAGCAGGAGTTGCGTCGACTATGCAGCAGAACCTGTGGAAGTGGTAACTGCGTAATGTATTTGTAGATGAGGAAGGTTCTCCATCAAGTCGAAGTATCTGAAAGTTCGGCTTGCTTGTTTGAGATTTGGCGTATAATGATGCGAAGTTCAGGCTAGTTGTGTGTGATGCGCAGCGCTGCAGCTAGCAGTTCACCCAGTATGGCTCAAGACAGACGCACAACACTAGTTCACATGGATATGTTGGATCCTCATCGTGTCTACCGAGGTATCGCTCAGCCAAACCAAGACAAGCCTGGCTTCAAGTTCAAGTCGCAGTTTCGAAATCCATGTAGTTTGCGTCAAAAGCCTGTCAGATCAGGGTGAGTACGCCTGTCCGTCAAGTAATTTCTTCTCGACGGTGATTGTGACGTAAGCAGGTTATGCTGTGCACTTGCTGTACTCTACGCATTGCATAATGCATTCAGTAGAATGTCCTGCGTGGTAAGCAGTGCCCTTCATTTCTGAGAGTATACTCTGATTTCAGAAATTTTAGGTGCTCAATATTTTCCGTATGAGCGCAAAAGCAAAGTTAGGTGAACAGAAATTTTAGACACAGAGAAGCAATTTCCTATTGGATTATGTGTGTTGGTGTTTGGTTTATTGAAAATTTAAGTATGAAACAGATCTACTGAAGGTACCGAAATAAAAGTACACCGGAAATTTGTGAAATTACAGTACTTTGTAGATGCAATCGGTCTGAACATGAGCACGTGGGTCGAGGCCTCTTTGGGTCCAGAATCGGACAGGGTGCGCGTCCCATGGTAAAAAAAAAAAAGAAGGAACTATTGCACATGGACATGTTCAAGGGACCCAACACAAACCAGTTGTTACCTTGAAAACAGCGACCCGGGGATGTTCGCAGGGTGGTCGTGATATATGTTTGGGGATAATAGAGATGCTTAGCAAAAGTACGATAACACTAACTTTCACGGTACTGACTGCCAGCCGCGACAAAAGACATTATCGGATAACGGAAAAACGTTACAGAGCTCAGAATAAAGGGCCGACGTTCGATTATGGTAATTCAGCAAAAAAAATCCAAAAAAACTCGCATTGTTTTGTAACTGGCGGGAGATGAAAAACACGTGCAGATCGAGACCAGAGTCGAGATTGCTTCCTCTAGTGACTTTTAGCTTTTTTGGTGAGTTATACCTTTCAGTTGACAATGTCTGCGTCCTCTGCTTCATGCGTTTCACTCTCTATCCCATCTGGGAAACAAAGGATCGGTTCCGTGGCACTCCTGAAGAAGAAATTCATTGGACTCTCCCAGACCTGCTGGAACTGGAGAACCCTTGCAGTCGTCGCTGCTGCGTGTAGGAAACGTTTCCAAGGACCTGGGCACAACGAATACTCTTTTTCGCCCTGCCTTTGCCATTCCCGAGTGAAAGACCTCGGCAAGGTATTCATTCGGAACAACAGCAAACTAATCCCTTGTTAAAATTTTTGAATTTCCTGCACTTGTTTCCGCGAAAATTCATAACGCCATGGTTGTCGCGACTACTTTGTCTGAACTATAACGTACATTGTGCTAAGGGAAAAGTCGGCTTGAACAATCCGAAGTACGGTAAGGATTGCGTTGACGTTAGTGTTTTTTTAGCTAAGCCACACTGTTTTTTATCTATAGTTCGCGTCCCCGCACGCATGTATTTCACAGCCGGAGTTCAAAAACAAAACAAAAAAGGAACATATTTTTTTTGGAAATGCAAAATGTTGTGTTAGCTTTTGGGCTAACTCTAGTGAGCGATAAGACCAATGCGCTGCTCTCTATCTCATGCTAGCTGCGACTGAGCTGGCTTTACACGTGCACTCAACTGCTGCGCATGCGCGCCCAAGTCGCCTTGGGTAGCTCTTGCTGCGCTGACTTTGGCTTGCGCTTACCTTTGCAGTGTCACTGAGCAGCAACCGGAATTTGTTTGACGTCATCGACATAAATCTGTGGCAAATGTTGTTGTTGTTTATTTTACTTCGCAGATTCTAACGGGCAAGTTGCCCAATAACAAGAAAGCGAAGGCAAAGAAAATAATAATACTAATAAAAGAAGTAACCGGGGGCAGCAGAAAATGAATAATAGCTTTAAGAACTCAGATGGTGAGCCAAGGAACAAATTTCCATGTTACAAATAATCGCTTTTAAAAGTAAAAAGAAAAGAGCGGGTGGTACAGCAGACTTCCTATTCTGAATTCCCTGAACGAAGCAGAGACATTAGCTGGGTACATGTCACTATTACACAGTAGCAAGAGAGCTACCTCCGTCGACATCAGTGGACGTGGGCTACGAGTGGATGCAACATACGAGTGGATGCGACAGCAACAGTGACTGGAATAATGGGTGATACGTTTCATGGAGCGAGCGTATGTGGGATGACTGACATCTTGAACACACTGCGTTGGGGGATGGTGCGGATGCCGCTGGGTAGTGCGTTCCACAGCTTGGGAGCGGCAACAGAGAACCTAGCCTGACCAGCGCGGCTTGCGGCGGGTGGTACGTGCGCTCCGATGTCCTTCTGCGAGCGGGTACGCCGATCTTGTGACCTTGAATTCAGTCCACAGCGCCGGTTCCCCGCAATGCCGTGCATGCATCGCCAGGTGAGCAATAGCGCCTTTTGCTTGTGCAGCTCTGAGATTCGGTAGAGTTCCACCCGTTGGAGCAGAGGTTGAGCAGAGTCGTATGGCCGAGCGCCAAAACTGCGCGAACCGCTTTGTTCTCCAGCGTCTGGAGATCCGATGCTTGCTGGGCAGTTAGACAGAACACGAAACAACTTGACGCGTAGGTCAGATCCGGCATCACCACGGACTTCAAGTAGGTGACTCGGGCCGCCAAGCTCAAGCATCTCTGAGTCCGCCAGAGGGCACCTACTTTGCGGGACACCTTTGCTAATGTCCGTGACTAGCCGATCAAGGCCCACATGTGAGTCCTGCCGCCTCGTTCATCCCGGAGGCGGCCAGTGTCCCTTTCGTCCGCAACGTAACAACCAGCAAGCCTTCAATGGAGTCCGTACGGTGTCTAATGGCCAACCGATCTGCCGGAACATCAACGCTGGGCGTTGCAGTCTCAGCACGTGCAAGTACGCCCATGTCTGCAACCGCTGCGGGTCCAAGGACCACAACGGATCTAAGTGCGGTAGGCCCCAGTAACTCTGCTGCTTTGGCTGCAGCTCACGCGATTGTACATATTTCTCCCTGCACTTCACGTTCTACTGATTTCACAAGCGCATGTCCTGCTGTCCACACACCCCTCTCTGTTTCTCGCTTCGAATCACTGCTCCGTAACCACCCTGACAGTTCATTGGCTTCGTATGTTATCAACAGCCTCCGCTGCGGCTTTGACATTGGCTTTACCGGCAACCGCATAACTAACCAGCACTCGTCCAACCTCTCATCAGCATTCCAGAACTCTGCATTTGTGTCTGCACAGCTCACCGCTTCCTGCATCGCCGGCTACACGGCTGGCCCATTTGACTCGCCCCCATTCCCATTTATGTACTGCTCTGGCATTGGCACTGTTCCAAAAAAGAATCGCAAGCTACGCTTGATACACTACCTGTCAAGCCCAGCCGGCTCCAGCGTTAACGACGGGATCCCTGCCGAGCCTTTCTCTTTGCAGTACATCAGCATTGATGAAGCCATTCACATCATTATGTCCTCTCCGTCTCCTATCTATCTCTCTAAACTCGATGTGAAGAGCGCTTTTCGTCAAATACCTGTCCGCCCACAGGATTGGCATCTCCTCTGCATCCTGTGGCAGGGAAAGTACTACTACGACCGTGTCTTGCCATTTGGGCTCCGCTCCAGCCCGGCGGTGTTTGATGCAGTGGCAGCCACCATCGAATGGATAATACACCACGAATTCTCCATCCCTAATTTGCTGCATTTCCTGGACGACTACTTGTGAGTGAGCGTGGGCCAGACAGTGGCGAATCGGCAGCTGGCCATTCTTCTCCGCGCATTCTCATACTTTGGAGTCCCGCTCGCGCTTGCGAAGGTGGAAGGCCCGTCTTGTACCCTGACATTCCTGGGCATTATCCTGGATTGTGAGAAGATGGAAGCCCGGCTCCCTGACGACAAATTGGCTGACATCAAGCGCCTGTTGACTGCAGCAAGCATCAACCCCACCATGTCTCAGCGCGAACTCGAATCTCTTCTGGGGAAACTCTCCTTTGCTGCAAGAGTCATCGTACCCGGCCGGACATTTATGCGGCGCCTGTGGTCTATTTGCAGTCGCTACCAGCAGCCTCACTACCGCATCAGTCTGACTACCGAGTGCCAGGAAGATATCCAATGGTGGCTACGGCACCTGGAACAATGGAACGGAAAATCATTCTTCCTGTTCCCAAATTGGACATCATCTCCATACTTGGAGCTGTTTACTGATGCCAGTGGCACCCTGGGCTGGGGCGCATTCAACAGCGGCCGCTGGCTTCAAGGGACCTGGTAGCCTGAGCAACTCGTTCACAGCATTGAGTGGAAGGAGCTCTACTCGTTGGTCACAGCGTGCTGCACATGGGGCAAGGAATGGCACCAGCGTCGTATCACAATGCACTGTGACAACAAGACTGGGGTAGATTGCATCCGCTCCGGCACATCCAAGTCACCGCCAGTGATGACCCTAATCAGGGAGCTGTTCTTTGTGTGCGCCCGCTTCAATTTCACCGCCACTGCTGCTCACATTGCTGGCCAGTCTAACTGCATTGCCGACTCGCTGTCTCGTTTCCGCATGGAGGAATTCCGACGTCTCGCCCAAGCTGCTCAAGCACAACCAGACCGAGCAGTGCTGCCATTCCAGTTGATGTAATAAAGCCTTGACATACAGGTACCGATTGTCATTGCTAAATTGCGGTATTCAGAACCTGCGTTGGATTTCATCCATCTGCATGCCTACCTTTAGCCAACTCGTGCCTTAATCACTTGTTCTTAGCTCTCGTGCATTGGTGGTGAATGCTTGCTGGGGTGCCGTGTGCTGGTTTTCTGGGAACAGCTTCCTTCAACTGGTTGCTTTGCTGCTACTAACTCTGCTTAAAATTGCATACTATTGGTCGGCTGTTTGCGACGCCAATCAGTAATCATTGCACCCGGTCGCGGGTACTATTGCCGCTCAAGCATTAGCGATTGCTTTGGCCGTTTGCAACGCCAACTGCTTCACCCTGGTTGGCTGTTTGCAACGTCGATCAGGGAACTTTGCACCTGGTCGCGGGTCCTGCTGCAGCTCAGTCGTGAGCGATCATTTTGGCTGTTTGCAACGCCAATCGCTTCACCAGTTGATCGAAACCAGCACACTGGTGTACCCCAATCATCCTTGTGCGGTGTTGTGAGAATACGTGGGTATGCGTGCAGCTTTGCTCTGTGACTTTCCATTGCATGTAGTCACTTGGCTCTCCCATTTTCTATACACTGCTCTGATGCATTCGGGTGCAAGCGCTAAACAAATTTAATGCAAACCCAGAAAACCGGAAAATGTAACCCAAAAGAGAAAAAAACCGGAACATGGTTGTTACACGGTAACTATTATGTTGGCATAAATTTGTTCTATTTATCGCATGATTGTACTCAGCTCACACACTGTAACACACATGTACATGTACATGTGTGTTTAATAAGCTGGGCCGCAAATCACACAATCATCATGCCGCCTGTGTTTTGGACCACAAGCATGGCACAGGGGATACACTCATGTATTCATGTACATGTATGCATGTGTGTGTCACTGCATGTGTGTGTCAATGTATATGAACAGTGCCGCGTCGCTTCGCTGTATGTACACAAATGCAATCCGCGTACACTGTTTTTTTTGGATGGCTTTTTTTTTATTTTTTCGCCCTCCCTCATTGATTTCATCGAATAAGGTGACACGAAACATAGAAAAAAACGGCGTGGCCTAAGGATATCTACTGACAAAAAGTGCAAGAAACTACAGTTTCATGGCTATGCACGAGTGCGGGCTCACGCAATGTGGAGGTTCAGGTGCCACCACTTGTGTACCTGAACCTTGCAGGGATTACACCCCGGTCCGCCGCATACATGTGCGTCCGCCTGATGGGTGTGGCATGAATTTTTATGTCTTTATCAAACTTTTGCGCACTGATGTCACAAATATGCGTCAAAACATCACACCCGGATTTCCTCATACCGCATTTAGTATACATGTACATCGTGTAGATGCGCATACGTGTAACATGCATTATACATCGCTGTTCAAATTGTCGTTGCGTCATTTTCCTTTATCTGATCGTTGCGAAAAAGAGTTCACTGGAAATGCGAGAGAATAAACGTTGTCTTGGTATGTCGTTTGATATCGAAACAGATGCCCGGAAACTGCGCAAGTGTTATAGACCAAAACGCTGAGATGTTTGAAATTTGTATTGTTTTGAAAACTTCGGGCGAAGAGCACATCAACGTGATTGGTGTGCCTCAAAAGCGAACAATCATTTTGATTCATCGCTGTACGGAGAATGCTTTGTGGAGACCACATGAATATCTTGAGTTTCAGTAATCTGCAGGACTTTGACTCACAGTGCAACGTTAAGTAAAACTTGAGAACCGATGAAATTTGTGAAGGTGGCTACAAAATCTTGCTTAGGAGTAATTGGGCAGCTCTCAAATGGCATGAAGGCGATTCAGTTGCTCCCGCTGGGTAGCTAGTGTCGTTATTCAGAAAGAGGACAGCTGTAGCTTTCCTTTGAGACCAATATGATAAAATCCGAAACTGGTGTACGAATTTGCAAACATTTCGAAGACATACTAGTAGGTACTTCAGCCTTTTTTTCAAGTCGGGTTTCTCCCAGGTTAGCATCGTAAATTGACAGTGGAGGATATCACGAGGTCACACACAAAATTTCATTGAAATCCACATAGATACAAGTAAATGTTTGTTTTTGGCCACATAATTATTTATTTTACGAGTTGGGTTTGTGAATAATAGTAAAAAATAAAAAATAAATAAAAAAGTGAGATATGAAGAGTTGCAGAGAGGCAATTGCATGAGGCGAAAGCAATACAATTTGTGGTACCAACAGCATACCCAAAGTGTTATCAGTGGATAATTATAATTGCAAAACATCAGAGTGGCATTGGCAAACACACGCTCTCACAAACACCAACAACCGTTTATGGATCAACAAAATACTGATCAAAGTTCACAATAGTCCAGAATACGGCAATTGTTACCACAATCACCATAGCAAGTGATCCACCAACGAAGGAGACAGAACCATAAACGATAATCAGCTCATCTCTCCCGTAGCTCCACCTCGCCTTCCTTCATGACCGAACATCAACTATAATAATCAATTTAGAGCAATATCCATAGCCTGCAGTCATATCATGGTGGCTAAAATCCAGAGGTCGTGACTTCGTAACATGCATAATGTTCAAATTTAATGTAATGTACATGTGAAATGTCTATTGTTAGATTGGCAGCATGTTATTATACCATGTAGAATGTCATGTACTGTGGTACACGGAGTTTTGCGGACTACCCGCCACTATCTCGTCTGCCTCGGGATACCTGATGAAGGCTGATTTACTCGCATCTTCTGCTACATGTACTGTCTCAGTGTGAGAAAAAACTTTGAAGAAGACGATTTCGAGCATACAATACTGTATTGCCGTGATTTATACCCTGCTTTTCATTGAAACACGATCTGCATGACCTCCGATCCCTTTACCATGCACACCACCAGCACTGATCAGGTGCATTGTACACAATTGTATAGCCTACATACTAGAACCGTGGTATAATCGTGTAGTTATGCTCCTACCTCCGAGAGTATGCCAAATTATGCTCCAAATTTTCAACCACCAAATTATACCAACAAATATGCCGGCATAATCCACCGGTGCCTACTGGTGGTACGGTACGGGTGTTCAAAACCATTTGAACTACATGTATAGCCTTAATCTTCTTTTTGGCATGCTCTACTTCCATCGTCCTTAGCTTTTGTTTGTTGCGAGCTGTTGTGAGCATGCCAAAAAGAGGACGAACACTTTGGAGCTCAAAATTAATGGTTTTGAACAATCGTACCAACTATACCACTTTCAATAAATTAATCGTAACGCCATTTTTGTTTCAACACATATATCGCGGATTCTCGCAAAATAACCTTTTGAAGACAACCTTTTCTCAGCCAGCGCCCGGTACCCACGGATAAATGTTTTCAAACACGAAATATTGCATAAAATCATTCTCAGATTTCGATGCGTGTGCAGAAGGACATGTACGAACTTCGATGTACTACTGGGCCGCCATGATCTGACGTCAACACCCCGTTGTTTATTGATGTCTATGGGGAACCCAACTATGCTACTACTTCCTCCAGAAACGAAAACTTCGTAACTTTTTTCACCACTTTTCGTTGCTGTTATTTCACTCTTTCTGTCTGGTTCTGTCAATTTGATATTTAAAGGATTTCCCAAAGGCATAGCCTATCAGGGGATCTTCTTAAGCAGTGAAAATGATCATTGATTTTTTTACTAGTGAAGCGACTTGTGCAGGAAAATATATGCCGTATAAAATGAGCACGAAATTGTGTCCGAAATTCTGAATCAGAATCTAAAGCGGTAATCTTGGGTGGAAAGTAATTCCATAATTTGCTGATTTTATGTAAGAAAATGGAAGATGAAAATTTCCCATGAGAGTTGAAAACAAGCTTGTTCGGTCTGCGTTAACTACGAGAAATATTGATGTCACAATGGTATAAGATATGAGGTTGAAAGTGGATGTATTTGAAAAGAATTGTAATAGCGATGAGGGTACGTCTGAAATGGAGGGATTCTAAGTTACACATACTATTTAAACCATCTCTTGATTCATATCTGTCAAATTCTATCTTGGCTGATCTTAGTAACCGTCTACACACCTTAGCCTGCAGGACATCAAACATAGCTAGCTGTGCAGTA